CTGATTCCGCAGAACTGGGTTGGGTGTGAAAAAGTATTTGTTGTTAACATTGTTTTTTCATTCGTTTTTTCCAGTTACGAGTCCTTTTTTAAAGCTGATCGTTTTGTATTCATTTTGTTTTGTTCTTTTTTCGTAACAGATGTAATGTTTAGTATAGAGTTTAGAAAAAATCGCAGTGTGAGATAGGCAAGAAGTAAGGCATGTAGCAACATCAGCACGGCAAAGGGAACTCCTTTAAATGCAAGGAAGGGTAAAAATATTGCTGTATGAGTCGTACGATTTTTGAATCAAGCACGGGCAACGCCGGGCCATGCTGCTAATACTATTATAATTTGTGCCGTTCCGATTTTAATTAGGCTTGGAAGCCTTTAATATGGTGAAATGGACGCGTGGTCTCTTCTTGAATTAGAAATGCTGCAGTTTATATTAACTTTGGTTTAAGAAATCGAATGCCAGTGAAAAACAACACAAAATCTCTCTCTCTCTCTCTCTCTCTCTCTCTCTCTATATATATATATATATATATATATATATATATATATATATATATATACCTTACCGAGTATAACAGCAAAATTATCCAAATCGTGTAACAGTATAATTATCTATCCCACAAAATGTTTATCATCTAAGAAAACACTAAACTAATTTAGTTTCTTTTTTCCAGGTTTTCGGATATGAGGTTTAACCATCTTGGCACCATTTTACGTAAGGGCCACTGAAAAATCCCTTTGAGTTTTTCAGCTAAAAAGAGAGCAGTTTAAAATTGTTTGTTTTTATTCATTTTTTATTTAGTTTTTCCAAATAAATAAAAAAAATTAATAAAACTTTTCCTTGTCCGTCATATTTAACAAAAGAAGGTTAAAAGAAAGGTGGCCGCCCAAATATACACTAATCAATAAATATATATATTTTTTTTTTCATAGAAATTTTCATAGAAAATATTCGCTCTCCGACGGAATCGTCATATAGCCCGACGTGCCTTAACCGATTGGGCCACAGAGGATCTTTCGGTTAGCAAGGTCGATTTTACTGCTTTTAAACTACAATCTTCCATGAATCTCTCACGTACATTCATATCTGCTCAATGCGTATTTAATTGACGTCACACATGAAATGGACAAAGTCCGACAATTATTTTAAGACGTTTTTATGTTTATGCATTATTTTTATAGATACAAATATTTAAGTAAATGCTCTGTTTATAATAAACAATATTAAACAACATTTACCGACCTGAAGGAATGCAACCTAACGGGGACACGTACGCACACATGATACACAAACATGGAAATAGATTTGACAGTCTCAAGTGTAATTTAGGGATAGAAAAGCATCTCTCATCAACACATCTATCATCACCACCACTCAGACGAAACCTAATAATTTTATTACCATTAGGTTGAAATTCACTTTCGTCAACACTCCAGAAATAAGATCAAGGGACACTACAAATACAGAAAACGAACAATGAAACATTAAAAGAACATAAGGAAAATTTATTCCTTTACAAATTGATTTTTATTTGCCTGAAGAAGGACGCGAGACCAGAAACTCGTGTAGCAAAAATATGATGAGTAAAATATTATGTATACATTAAAACAAATCCACATTATGACCAAAGACGTTTGCGGTTTATCTCTTTTTTTAAAAAATATGAATTTTTCTCTCGTTGGGATTTTCATGGGATTCCACTGAAAACGAAAGTCAGTGTCTATCGAGCAGTCGTACTAACCACACTTCTTTATGGGTCAGAATCGAGGACGCCATACAGGACGCACAGCAATCAACTTGATGATTTTCATAAATGCTGTCTTTCTTCAATATGTGGTTTTACACAACAGGACAAAATCTCTAACCCTGATCTTTTCATCGGATGTGGTGTCGGCGGTATTGATCCTTTCTGAAGCAATCCCAGTTCAGATGGGCTGGTGATGTCATCAGAATGAGTTATGATCGGATACCGAAAATCCTCATGTATAGCCAACTTTTCCATAGTAAGCATAGCGTAGGCCGTACTTGGTTACGCTTCAAGGATAATCTTAAATACAATTTAATTGCAGCAAACATCTGATTCTGAGGTATAACTAACTTTGAAAAAAATCGTCTCAATCATCTGAGAGAATTAAGAATTAACACTAAATCTCGGGTTAATACATCAACTCATATGACGGTCAACCTTTAAGTATGCACTTCGTGTGGATTTGTTTGCAAATCCCGTGCAAGATTGTTGTCATATACGAAACGTAAACATGAAAATGAAATGAAAAAGCAATCATACGTCGAAAACAACGGGAGAGTCCATCATTATATATATATATATATATATATATATATATATATATATATATATATATATAGTTAGTTAGTTAGTTTATGAAAAATAGGTAATTCGTATGGGTAAACCTAAGGACGATAAAATCCAGAGAGCTCAATGTAAATCCAGAGCAAATAATTTAAATAAAAACAGACTAGTTTAAGGTTCTATGTAATAAATTATTTCACCACAGACCTTTTAAAAGACTGCGGATCATCACACTTTACTTATATATATCGCACTGAAGAGCTGTGATACAGCTAAACAGTACTTTCTGCGAACGACACACACACTATATATATATATATATATATATATATATATATATAATCTCTTCACAAACGAAAATCAGCATTGAATAAATAGGTAGTAAGCAGTTTACTGCCATTCTCAAAATCAAGGAGTCCATACTGCAAAGATTAATAAACTTTTCGTTTTTATCTCTGATTGCACCTTGCAAGTTGCAGTATCAAATGCATGCTTATTTACCAAATGATATATATATATATATATCAAAACCAACATTTAGTGTTATTTTTATTTTAATGTTGTTACGTATAACAGTTTTCACAAAAATTAAATTTGAAAATTTACTTCAAGTATTTAATAACCCTCTATAAATAAGTTCTGTCAGTAATAAAATATTCTTCTTTAACTCTGATGAACAATAATATCGTTGTTTTAGTGTGTCGCAGATAATTATATTGAACACACACACACAAACACTCACTCACACACACACAAACACACTCACACACACACACACACTCACACACTCGCACACACACACACACATATATATATATATATGAATAAAAGCAAAAGAAAAACTTATCGTGGCCATTGATGGGCCTTATCAAGACAGATGTCAGGATTTTATTTTGCAAAATGTATTTATAAACGAAAGTAAAAATGCTGTAGCCTTTTCAATTTTTTTTTTAAGTTTCAGAGATGCCAATATATATTGATGAGATTAACTGAAACATATCGGTAAATTATGGAGAGAGCTAAGCTACTTAATTTAATATCTGATAAACAAAAGTTAATAAATGATATTGTTGAATTTTTGAAAATGCAGTTAATATTAAAATTATCGTAGTCTGTGATAAATTTATGTATTATATATTTTAAATGACAGGGGGATTTGGATTTAAACGTTTTCTTTTAATCATTTGCTTATGTTTTGGAAGCATATTTTCATTGAGACATGTTTCGCTGAATAATTTAGACAATAAACAACACACTGATGATGAGATTGTGCTATGTCGAAAGTACTCAGAATAAAAGAAATATGTATCAACATGGCGATTTTCTCTCATCCTTTAATAACGACACCATAAATCTTATCCGTGAATATGAAAGGATCCAACGGAAAATAAGTAGACAGAGCATGTCTAAATTAATCGACGAAACATGTCTCAATATATATATATATATATATATATATATATATATATATATATATATATATATATATATCAGTGTCTAACCACATTGTGCACTGTCTTGTTTATACCTTATATTAAATTAATATTTATTCGCTTACCTGGTTGTGTATGCACGCTAACGCACGTATATACAGTTGCTGATATCTAATTATTTGGTTTATATCCACATTTATATATATATATATATATATATATATATATATATATAAAAGTGAACATATAAGTCAACACTTAGTGACGACAGTCTGTTTCATGCTAGTGTTGGCCTGACGATTGCATCTAGCATGAAAGAGATTGTCGCCTATAAGTGTTGACTTCTATGTTCACTTTTATATTTACGCACACTCTGTCTCTGATATTGAGCACTTTATCCCATAAATATAGCACATCTGAAGACTATATTTCTTCATATATATATATATGCTTTGGTTTTTACTCTGATGAGAAAATCTTTCATCAGGACCAAAATATAAACTAAGATAATGACAGCTGGTTATGCATCTAGCCTCAGGACATTTCAACGTTCATGCACACAAGGTTTCCAGCCACTGTGATGGTTCTGGAAGTCCTGAGCAACAAAGGAGAAGTTATACCTCATCACCTGTTTCCTCAGGGTTTAAGGTTTACTACTCCTGACTATAGTACAGTTTTGGAGAAGGTTGTAAGAGTTTGGATAGAGAGCATAAGCAGAAGAAGACCTTACATATATCAACGTCACTCTCCGCCATTTTATAAGGCCAAGACAACTGAAGAATGGATGAGTTAGAATCTCCATGATCAGATGGTCTCCTTGTTGTCCAGACCTGAATCCATTCGATTAATAAGTATGGGCTTAGTTGTTACAGAATTCATTCAACATCCGTATAAAAAGAATCAATGTACAAAATAGATAAAGATTATATGGTTTGGACATCTTAATGTTTCACTGCTCGTATCGAAGCAGTCATCGATGCTAACAGCCGATTGATTAAGGGAAAGCATGAAGGGAATTGCCAAGATTATCCATGCCAGTTTTTTCTCAAATAAAGCCTTTATCTCCTGATTTATGCGTCTTTTATATTAATTCATAGAAATTTTCTCAAAGAACTGAGCAACCCTTTACGCACCGGAAATGTTTGATAAATTCATCTTAATAACTTTGAGCCAGAAAACGGAATATTTATACTTGCTCGTACAGACAGACACCCAGCTATATCTATCTATCTATCTATCTATCTATCTATCTATCTATCTAGTCTGATCATTATCTATCTATCTATCTATCTATCTATCTATCTATCTATCTATCTATCTATCTATCTATGTTCATTATATATCTCATCCGTTCATTATCTATCTATCTATCTATCTATCTATCTATCTATCTATGTTCATTATATATCTCATCCGTTCCTTATCTATCTATCTATCTATCTCATCCTGTTCATATCTATCTATCTATCTATCTATCTATCTATCTATCTATCTATCTATCTATCTATCTAGTCTGTTCATTATCTATCTATCTATCTATCTATCTATCTATCTATCTATCTATCTAG